GTTTCCAAAAGCCAGCAGGAATTGGTGCAGGTTTATACAGTCTATGTGGTAGCAGAGCACTCCTAAAACTCCACGGCTATGTCTGAAACAGCTCTGTGTACAGTCTAACGGTGACAGGTTAGATTTATGTGGCGGCGCACAATTGGCCCAGCGTCGTCCAGGGTAGGGGAGGGAATGGCCGGCAGGGATGTAGCGCAGTTGATAGAGCATGGCGTTTGCAACGCCAGGGTTGTGGGTTCGATTCCCACGGGGGGCCAGTATAAAAAAATATATATATGTATTCACTAACTGTAAGTCGCTCTGGATAAGAGCGTCTGCTAAATGACTAAAATGTAAATGTAATAGTCTTTATCTGCTCCTCTATGCTCCAGAGGGGCTGCTGGAGTCAGAGGTGGATGTATGGAGAGAGTAGGATCCCATGTTTACTTCCACAGCTCAGCCACCCTGTCTCCAGGCTTACGGGGGTGGGAGAGGGGGTTGACTCAGGGAGGCACAGCAGACAGAGGAACCCGTTGGGATGTGAAACTTGATCCGTGTGCTACCCCCTCCCTCCATCTCCACCACCTCGCCAGAGAGCCTTGGAGACTCCCTGAGCAATCTGATCCCTCACTCTGCCTCAGATTGGAAATGCTTTCAGAGAGAGGAGAGAGAGGGCTGCAGGACAACAGAAGCAAGGCAGGGGAAAGACGCTCTTAAACATAAAGGGATGTTAGAAAAACAAGCATTGTAAATTTAAAGTGTTTGAGAAAATATATGAGCTGGAGAATGTTTTGCTTCTCTCTTTCCCCGCACTCCGAGCACTTGAGGCAAGTTCTGGTTTACGTTACAGACTTCAGTACAGAAACAACTTCATTTCTAGGAAATAAGTATCACTACTACCCACACCACCTAAAACACACTAAGCATGGATTTTATGGAAACCATGTAGGTTAGTCTATTTAATGAAAGTACATTCAAAAACATCTCTTGATTTCCAACATGTAGGCTATGCCTACTGCAGTGGCAGCTGTCAAGCAGGGACATGGGAGACAAAACAAATGGCCCATCATGAGTGATAATCATTCCATTAAAAAGGAGAAGATACTTCCAGCTAGCTATATCCTCCTGACAAAGAGCAGACCTCTGATCTGTGCATCATGTGTGCATAAATCATATCTGAATTATGCACCATTTACTGAACCCCATACCCATTTCTGTCTAACCTCCATTACATTCTCTCCAGACTTCAGGCAGTTACAGAGCTCTGGCTAATTAATCACCCTCAGTTCCAGAGCAAGACTGCTGTTATAATCACTGTGTTAGCCCATCAAGATACTGTGTACACAATCATTGCTAGAGAGACTAGGCATAGGTCTATATAAACTAGGAAGACATTCAGCTACGTTTAAATAGTGAGATTTCTTGTCATGTGCTTGATTATGGTTTGAATTGCTGGAGAAATCCTCAGCCGTAGTTTGTTAGCTATTCTTCCTCGCCTAGTCTCACTCCCCCAATATTGGCCTGTGTTATGGAGAGCCCCGGGTAAGCCACGGAATGTAAAGATGTCTGGCATATGTATAATGTTAGACATCTTTACATTCCACTTCTACCCCATGCCGCTCTCCTCCAGGCCCCTTAAAGTAGACAGCTTCACAGTCAGGGCTTCCATCTGGTTTTTGACCTCCCTATGTGTCGGACCCCATTCACTCCAGAGTTGCCTTCAGCATTGGAAGGTGGGGAGCACAACGCGTCGCCCTCCCACTCCAGGCCCAAATTAAAACCAGCTTTTCACAGACGAGAAAAGCATGGGCAATGAGACATGAGATATGAGACACTGGGTATTTTCTCTGTGAAAAACAGACCTCTTGCTACTGAGGTAGTGTGTATGGGAGTTTGTGTTTTGGTGTGTATTGCCAGATTTTAAAGTGTCTCACTGCCTTCATCAATACTTTCACACCATCACTAACCTGGGTCCCTGATTTAATGTGGTATGTGTACAACCGAGGCCTACAACATATGATGAAATATTGTGCGAGTGGCCATATACAACTTTAATTTCAATATAGGCCACATACTATGTGCAGACGATTTAACTAGGAAGGGACCAAGAACCTGAATTAATAATATTATGAGCACTGAGGACTATATCATATGACATGTCGGTGATTGACCAATTTACGATGATAGTCAACAGGGAATAAAAATCCATTGACATACATGGTAGCCCCCAAGAAACCCCTTTATTCAAACTACGTGTGTGCTTATAGGCAGAAAAGTGAGAGCTGACATGAAGTTAATATATTTAACATGCCATTTAGCAAACGCTTTTATCCAAAGCGACTTAGTCATGCGTGCATACATTTTTGTGTATGGGTGGTCCCGGGGATCGAACCCACTTCCTCGGCGTTACAAGCGCCGTGCTCTACCAGCTGAGCTACAGAGGACCACAAGTTATTTGTTTAATCAACTTAAGCCTTGTTATTAGTACTTGAGGTGCCGTCCTCCTCGGTCCTCTGATCAACACTTGTTACAAAACATTATAACGACAGAACAACGAGTAGGCCTACCTTGAGCCAATGTACAGTTTTTATTGGTGAACAAATAGCTAGGTAGTTAGCGATGTATAATCAATTAAGTTAACGCTAGGCTAGCCTACTAGGCTTTCAAGTAGTACATTCAAAGATATGGTATATAACTTACTTTTCAGAGGGAATGGGAAAAACGTGTTATTTTGTAATCTAATTTGATACAAATGGTTCCAAACCTCATGGCATTCAACCACTCAGTTAAATGTTGCATTGTTGCAATGTCTCCGGAAGAGATAATTGTTAATTCTGCCCTCACTTTGGCTGTTGTGGAAAAAGTTTGTTTTCGCGTCTGACAAAACGTAAAAAATATATTAGCTACTGTCTTCATTTTGCAAGCGTATTACGTTTATATTTATTAACTAGTTAGCTAACCATTTATCTTCGGTTTAAATACAGCAACTTGTTTCCGAGAGTTTGTTTTGAATGCGAAAACTACCTCGCTAGATTGTTAGCGCTAGCTAACATTAGCGTAGCCACTTGCTAGTTAGCGAACTAGCTAAATAGCTACATTTGTTTGGCTAGTTAACTCGTTTGCAAGTACTTCTACTAGCAAACCTGACACTGAACTTTGATATTAACCGAATTGGTTAGTATATAGTTAGCCAGTGTATTATTTGCTAGTTTAGTTTAAATTGTTTTATGAATCAATTCGCTCGTTACACAATGCAAGTTGTTCACTAGCGACTTGCTAGTTAGCTAGCACAGAGCGGTAACATTTAACTAACGGTTTATGACCTAGCCTAGTTAGATTTCATTTTACCTCACCTTTTTCTTCAGCAGATGTGGCAATCCTTTTGGTTCCGGGCGAGCACTCCTTTCTATCTTTATATTTCGTCTTGAAGTTGCAAAAATGTGGTGTACATTTCCCAAATATGCAGTTAAACGTCGGCCCTGCTCTACTCGCTCTGTTTTGCCTCTGCCTATGTCATTTGATGAAGCACTCGTAGCCAGACCAACATTTTCCAATCACTGCAGCGAATGCACAACCATTTGAGGGGCACGGAGTTGCGGTGGGAGTATTTCTATGGAGAATTAAAGTATGTCCCACTTACCTCAGTGACGCCCCCTGGTGTAAATGGACATACCTATTATTTTTCATTACCCTAATCTACTACAGTATATTCGTATTTGTTTGACACACAATTATACACATGCATACAATAGTCTACTCACAAATAGAAGAGCGTGGAGAGTAAGAGACAAAGGTCGGGGAAGAAGCGTGAATAAGTGGAGAGGAAGAGGGAGGAGATGAGAAGCTTGAGAGGTATATAGAGAAACTGGAGAAGTAGATAGATGGTGAAAATGAAGGAGAAAAAGGTGGACAGGGTAAGTGTGGACATAAGGGTGATTGAACACATAAGAGGGATTGAAGAACATAGTTAAAGGAGAGACGAGATGGAGAATAAAAAGGTGAAGGAGATTGATGAAGAGGAGGATAGGAAATGAAGAATAAGGGTGAGAAGGAAGTGGAAGAATAAGGGTGAGAAGGAAGTGGATTAATAAATCAAGGTGAAAGACAATGTTGTGAAATAAAATGTTTATTGACAAATTTCAAAGATTCAAACCATCCTAGGGTCCTTCCACCAATTCGGTGCCTTTTGAGAAGTGTAACTTCACCTAATTTTAACATTGTCAAGAGCACATGTTCAAATTCATAAAAAACATGTTTTCTCATCTCAAGAGGTTTTTAAATAACACAAATGACTATAGAAAGTGCCTATTAAAGTGCCAAATAAAGTAACAGTGTTGACCATAACAGGGTTGACAATTTCTTCTTAAATAAACCATAAATCCCCTTGTGACAGGGGGAATGGATGATTGTGTGCAACAGGGAGTGGCAATTGAATACAAGCTTCACAAAAAAAACTGAAATTGCTCAAACATTTCTAGACTGTCTTTCTATGGGTAACAGGGTTGACGTGTTATGCTCAACCCGCTCAGTTTCCCACCACATAACACCAGAAAATGGCCAAAAATAGTCCAACCAGATCACCTGCTTTTAAACTATGATTTGACTATTAATGTTCAATGTTTCTTAAAAATATATATTTTAAAAGGAATAGTTTTACCACATTAAAACAAAAGTTCAGTTCACGTAACAGGGTTCACCAAAATGAGGGACAGATGTAAAGGAATCAATAATCACATGAAATAAATAATAATCTTCAGAAATTACGTCAAAAATAACTAGGGCTTTACAATGATGGTGAAACTTGGAGAAATGTTCAGAGTAAGTGGGTTGAAATCTTCCTAGAAGTGACACAGGGTTGATGGAGGGACATGTCAAAATACTGAATTTTGGCACTTTAGGTAGCCTTTATTCATTAAAAAAATTTTGCTTTTTTGAACTCGCCATGTTGTCTATATTAAAGGGCACTTCATTTAATATAACAGGGTTTTAAAATGCAATATTGTTGCACAATTTCTACTTAAATATCAAAGGGACGCAAAAGGCACCCATTTCGTGGAACGACCCCCTAGAGATCTAGAGATACCAGCAGCCTCTCAACATTGACTCTGGTAATACAGGCATACATGTGGTTGTAAAACAAAAACATAATTGTGATTCGTAATCTTTGCTGAACAATATAAATTAAGGTCATGGTATTTAATAGGCTACAGCATGCATAAATTAAGGCCATTCAAACATTGTCCAATCCAGGAAGTTCTCAAGAGAGACGAAATCAAGCCCATTTCCTTCCCAAGATAGATACACACACAGATAGACTCCTGTTAAATTCTTAAATCTTCAAGGTATATCCTTTCTCCATGTAACTCTGTTCTGATAGCAGTCAGATGCATTTCACTAAATAAAGCAATTCATAAAACATGTTCATATTTTTAAGCATCATTAGTGTTATGGTAGGCCAGGCAGGGTGAGTAATTTGAAATATGGGGGTTTACAATCCAATAAAAAGCATGAGCTGGCGCACACACAGAGAACATCACTTACTGTAGAGGTGCTGACCAAATATGTTCCACATAAAGATACCTTGTTTATATAGACAATAGGGTTCCAAGTACAAATTCAGCAAGAGATTAAACACAAATTCATGTATTATTGATAATGTACAACAGAAAAATGACAACAATCCTATTCCTCCAACACAGTCCATGCCAAAGAAAAAAAACATTGACGGCATACAACTACTCAAAGATCAAGGCCATATTTCAGTTAGTGCTTCAAAAACAGATGAAAGTTTATATAAGTAAATCAATTATCAGATTTAAGAGAGTGGTTGTTATCTCATGCCAAGTATATATCTATTCTAAGAAAAATACTACTCTAGAAAAAAATACTTTCCCCCATCAAAACACAGAACATGGAAGAAGAAGCAATCCCTTTTGCACATTGGATTTAAATCTTGCAGCCTCACAAGTGTTTAATAAACAGCAGTGCAAACAGAAATAATGTGTGAACCAACATCTAAAAGACCACTTAGCAGCCTGAATTTAAAAGGATTGTCTTAATACAGTGTCATAGCAAAGTAACCTGTGTGTCATATAGACTGTTTAGGGAAAACTAGCCAGGAGGGAGGGAAGTGTTGAGAGTGAAGAGAACGCTGAATGCTACTTATGTCTCTCGTTACAGAGGACAGAGATGCACAAGAGACCTCTTACCTAAATGGAATGAATGCCTGACAGCAGAGAAGTTATAGTAATTTGGGAATGGACTGTGAAATTATATAAAACTGTGTCCTCCTTAATTTGTCCTTAACTATTCTTTCATAGTGTTATTATAACCAATGTTGACTACAGGGGAAACGTGTGAGCATTGGAACCAGCAATATTGACAGTTTGGGCTGCTGACTAACACAAAAGTCACTATATTTTATTGCCTAAAAATAGCCTCAATGGGATTTCTATCATCATGTTGACTCAATAGTCTTTTTTTTAATAAAGGGGAACTATCTAAATAACCCTAACAATCGTTTTCCCTATGCTGTCCACAATTTCTGATTATGGAGGAAGTGTAATGATATTGCTGGCTGACACATGGGGCCTGGAAAGCAGCACGGTTTCAACACTCTGTTGCACTCTAGTGGTTGGAAACTATACAACTAGTTTCAATATGCTGAACTTTCAGTAAACAACTATTTAGCAACAATTCAAGTCTGTCTTCATTTCCCTCCAATGGTACCATGTAAGGTTTATTCTGAACTGGCACTGACTATGCTTTTCTTACCAGTTTATCTACACACATACAGTATGCATATCAAAAGTATTCAGTGTAGTGTTCTTAGAGTTATGTAAAATCACAATATGCTTTGCTACTCTAGTGGCACAAATACATTACTAATACTGATGTTGCCTCAGTAGACATGCACTGACAATCATGTACAAACTCATGCATGCGCACACACTTACACAAACACAGAAAATACACAAAGATGTATAAAATAAACTCTGAAAGTAAAAAGGTTGTACACAAGCACACTGTCTCAACTGACCTTTAAGGTGTGTGTGCTAGTGAGTGAGAAATGATTGTGTTTGGCTGTTTTTGGCCTTGACAGATATTTCCTATAAATTATTCTTTAAATTAAGCGCTTCATATGGGTGTAAGGCAGATCACCATGCATAGACATTTGTTGTGTAAAATGTATTTGTAAGACCCCAGGCCAGAGCTTGCCTCCCTTAAGCGCAATTCAGAGTCCAAAGCCGCGGAGAAACGATAGTCCGGCGGCCCATTGTGACATATCATATATGCTGCAGTAGTTTATGTGTCGGGGGGCTGGGGTTAGTTGGTTATACCTGGAGTACTTCTCCTGTCTTATCCAGTGTCCTGTGTGAATTTAAGTATGCTCTCTCTAATTCTCTCGTTCTCTCTTTCTCTCTGAGAACCTGAGCCCTAGGACCATACGTCAGGACTACCGGGCATGATGACACCTTGCTGTCCCCAGTCCGCCTGGCCTTGCTGCTATTCCAGTTTCAACTGTTCTGCCTGCGGCTACGAAACCCCTACCTGTCCCAGACCTGCTGTTTTCAACTCTTAATGATCGGCTATGAAAAGCCAACTGAGAGACCTGAGCCCTAGGACCATACGTCGGGACTACCGGCCGTGGTGACTCCTTGCTGTCCCCAGTCCGCCTGGCCTTGCTGCTATTCCAGTTTAAACTGTTCTGCCTGCGGTTATGGAACCCCTACCTGTCCCAGACCTGCTGTTTTCAACTCTTAATGATCGGCTATGAAAAGCCAACTGAGATTTATTCCTGATTATTATTTGACCATGCTTGTCACTTATGAACATTTTTGAACATCTTGGCATGGTTCTGTTATAATCTCCACCCGGCACAGCCAGAAGAGGACTGGCCACCCCTCATAGCCTGGTTCCTCTCTAGGTTTCTTCCTAGGTTTTCGCCTTTCTAGGGAGTTTTTCCTAGCCACCGTGCTTCTACACCTGCATTACTAGCTGTTTGGGGTTTTAGGCTGGGTTTCTGTACAGCACTTCGAGATATTAGCTGATGTAAGAAGGGCTATATAAAATAAAATTGATTGATTGATTGATATCTATCTGGCTCTGTGTCCACCGTCCGTGCACCTCCCCAAACTTCCCATTACATGCAGTAAAAGACACAGAGTGGTTCCTTGATTTCCAGTCAGGAATAAATCACGTTTAAGAGACACATTCCAAAAACCTAACTTCTCTACCCCATAAAGTGATCCCCAAAGTTGGTATAGTATTACTGTATCATAATGTAACAGAGCGCTATCTTTGTATATAATAAATAAATAAATCCAGGATGAAAGAGTTTGAGTTACAGGTTCTTCATATAATACTATGAACCTCTGTATGATGCAACTGCATGCATACAAAACAAAATAATTCAAATAACTTTTTTTGTTTTATCAGCAATATAAACATCCATGGATGTTATACTTCCGTTTTCTTCTATGTAAATAAATAACACTTTGCCAAAGTTGCAATAAATATTACTTATTAAACTGTCACTTTAATAAAACCTCTGTGAAATTAAACAGTATTAGTAGGCCTACATGTGTCACGCTATACTGTATCAGTTCACATTCTGTGCTCTTTTGGTCAGCGTGAGGCATTAAATCTACTGTATGTGATACTAAAACGGTCTTATTACATTCACTGCAAGCTATTTGGGTTTTGCTATTTGGGTTTTTACATTAAAAACAAAGCACACAGTGTTTCTGTGAAATAAGGCATCTTATTTACTGATTACCCTGCTACTCCACTCAGTCTGCCTGTGTCTGTAGGCTGCTAAGGCTTTTGCTCCAGCCTCACTGGATTGAGGCCCCCCAGGACCTGAGTCGTAGCAAATAGTTTACATCAGAATTCTCTGATATACAATATAATTCATTTGTAAGTGATATTAATAAATACAAACGTAACACATTTTCTGAGGGAGCTGCAGCATTTTAGGCAGTTTTGTCTTGAGTTTCAGTACCAATGAAAATACTTAAATTTTGTCACGACTAACTGATCGGTTTACTGAACAGTCAATCTTGTTGCTATTATCTTCAGCTTGTGTTTTTCATCATTTTGACTGGCATCAATGCCCTCTACAGGGCTCTTTGCCAAGGCTTGGGCATAGCTATGTAAGCACCTGCCCACCACCCCATTAGACTGCAGATGGAGCATCTACACGTTGATTGCGTGAGCATGCTTCTTGCACAGGGGCTTGTCCTTCTTGGAGTAGAAGGGCTGGCCCTCCAGGTTCAAATTGCACACCTGTGGGAGACAGACATCATTGTTAATCTCACAAGCCACACATTTTTGGTACAGTCCAAGAGATTTGAGAAATAACAATTTTATACAGCAGGAACGTGGGTTATTGTACAGCGCTGTAGTCCTTCTTACCGCACAGACAAAGCAGGTATCGTGCCAGGTATGACCCAGTGCTTCAATGAACTTGTCTCCAGCTTCTACTGGAAAGTCACAGCCATGGCACTTGGTGCTGAAGAGTGAAATGTAATCTGGAAGAGAGAGCATTGATGCAGAAAATACTAGCAGAGTGCAAATGGTAGCAAAGTTACATGCATTAAACATGTCTCTTTATGTATATCATTCAAATGTAGTTCAGTTGCAGAAGTTGTTTTCACAGAGGACATTATGGCAAACATATATACAGAAGCTGGTTTGGGCTCTAAAGGAAACATTTGACACTTGGGGTTTTTCATTATGTGCCATGCCATTCCATTGATCTAAAGTACCTTTCTCGCAGTAGGGCTCCCCATCCTCCATGTGGAAGAGGCTATTTCCAAAGGCCTTGCCACAGGCAGCACACACAAAGCAGGTGGTGTGCCATGTCTGCCGCAGAGCATGCATTACCTCCTGCACACCAAAACACAGGGACAAAAGGTTATTGTGTGGGTGTATGTGTAGGTGTACGCTTGCATAAAGTGCTTTTGTGTGTATTGTACGTGTCTGTGTTTGGGTCTGTCATCTTACCCCCATGATCTTGGTGTTGCAGCGGGCACAGGTGGGGGCAAAGAACTCTCCGTAGCAGTTCTCACAGTATACTGCGTTCTGCTCCTCCACAAAGCTGCAGTCTGCAAGCGATGTGTGGCAGTAGTGACAGTTGAACTCCTCTGGGTGCCAGGAGCGACCCAAGGCCACCAGGAAGGGTCCCCTGTAACGACAGATAGCGGGTGAAAGCTATGATCCCTTATTGATGTCACCTGTTAAATCCACTGAAGGGGAGGAGGCAGGTTAAAGAAGGATTTTTAGGCCTTCAGACAATTGAGACATGGATTGTGTATGTGTACCATTCAGAGGGTGAAAGGGCAATACAAAATATTTAAGTGCCTTTGAACGGGGTATGGTAGTAGGTGCCAGGCCCACCGGGTTGTGTATAAAGAACTGCAACGTTGCTGGGTTTTCACGCTCAACAGTTTCCCGTGTGTATCAAGAATGGTCCACCACCCAAAGGACATCCAGCCAACTTGACACAACTGTGGGAAGCATTGGAGTCAACATGGGCCAGCATCCCTGTGGAACGCTTTCGACACCTTGTAGAATCCATGCTCCGATGAATTGAGGCTGTTCTGAGGGCAAAAGGGGAGGGGGGGTGTAACTCAATATTAGGAAAGTGTTCTTAATGTTTTGTACACTCAGTGTATTGTTGTTGTTACCTGATCATGTTGTTGCAGGCCCCACAGAGGGGTGCTCTGTTGCTGTTGGCAGCGAAGCGCTCCGCCCTTTGGGCCACACCCCGGGCAACGGGATTGAAAGGGGCAGGAGTGGGGTTGTATGGGGCAGGGCTGGGGTTATAGGCAGGGCTTGGGGCAGAGTGAGGGGTGTGGGCAGAGCCAGGGTTTGGGATGTAGGCCGGTGCTGGTGGGGCACTCTGAGGTAGAGCAGGCACTTTCCTGCTGGTGCTGGTGGTCTTGCTGGGGTCAAATTTATTGGCAAAAGAGTCGTCAGTAATCCAGGGGGGCCTGCTGGAGGGGGGTTCAGGGGTGGCCTGGGCTGCGGCTTGGGGTGGAACAGGGGCAGGGGCAGGGGCTGGAGCTATGACCCAAAGAGACACGCGGTTAAGTCAACACTATCCATACTTACAGTTGAAGTCGGAAGTTTACATACACCTTAGCCAAATTTATATACATTTAAACTCAGTTTTTCACAATTCCTGACATTTAATCCTAGTAACAATTCCCTGTTTTAGGTCAGTTAGGATCACCACTTTATTTTAAGAATGTGAAATGTCAGAATAATAGTAGAGAGAATGATTTATTTCAGCTTTTATTTATTTCATCACATTCCCAGTGGGTCAGAAGTTTACATACACTCAATTAGTATTTGGTAGCATTGCCTTTAAATTGTTTAACTTGGGTTAAACGTTCCGGGTAGCCTTCCACAAGCTTCCCACAATAAGTTGGGTGAATTTTGGCCCATTCCTCCTGACAGAGCTGGTGTAACTGAGTCAGGTTTGTAGGCCTCCTTGCTCGCACACGCTTTTTCAGTTCTGCCCACAAATGTTCTATAGGATTGAGGTCAGGGCTTTGTGATGGCCACTCCAATACCTTGACTTTGTTGTCCTTAAGCCATTTTGCCACAACTTTGGAAGTATGCTTGGGGTCATTGTCCATTTGGAAGACCCATTTGCGACCAAGCTTTAACTTCCTGACTGATGTCTTGAGATGTTGCTTCAATATATCCACATCATTTTCATTCCTCATGATGCCATCTATTTTGTGAAGTGCACCAGTCCCTCCTGCAGCAAAGCACCCCCACAGCACGATGCTGCCACCCCCGTGCTTCATGGTTGGGATGGTGTTCTTCGGCTTGCAAGCTACCCCCTTTTTCCTCCAAACATAACGATGGTCATTATGGCCAAACAGTTCTATTTTTGTTTCATCAGACCAGAGGCCATTTCTCCAAAAAGTATGATCTTTGTCCCCATGTGCAGTTGCAATCCGTAGTCTGGCTTTTTTATGGCGGTTTTGGAGCAGTGGCTTCTTCCTTGCTGAGCGGCCTTTCAGGTTATAATATAAGATAATATGCCATTTAGCAGACGCTTTTATCCAAAGCGACTTACAGTCATGCGTGCATACATTTTTATTTTTTTTGTGTGTGTGTATGGGTGGTCCCGGGGATCGAACCCACTACCTTGGCGTTACAAGCGCCGTGCTCTACCAGCTGAGCTACAGAGGACCACAGGTTATGTCGATATAGGACTCATTTTACTGTGGATATAGATACTTTTGTACCTGTTTCCTCCAGCATCTTCATAAGGTCATTTGCTGTTGTTCTGGGATTGATTTGCACTTTCCGCACAAAAGTATGTTCATCTCTAGGAGACAGAACGCGTCTCCTTCCGGAGCGGTATGACGGCTGCGTGGTCCCATGGTGTTTATACTTGCGTACTATTGTTTGTACAGATGAACATGGTACCTTCAGGCATTTGGAAATTGCTCCCAAGGATGAACCAGACTTGTGGAGGTCTACAATTTTTTTTCTGAGGTCTTGGCTGATTTCTTTTGATTTCCCCATGATGTCAAGCAAAGAGGCACTGAGTTTGAAGGTAGGCCTTGAAATACATCCACAGGTACACCTCCAATTGACTCAAATGATGTCAATTAGCCTATCAGAAGCTTCTAAATCCATGACATCATTTTCTGGAATTTTCCAAGCTATTTAAGGCACAGTCAACTTAGTGCTTGTAAACTTCTGACCCACTGGAATTGTGATACAGTGAATTATAAGTGAAATAATCTGTCTGTAAACAATTGTTGGAAAAATTACTTGTATCATGCATAAAGTAGATGTCCTAACCGACTTGCCAAAACTATGTTTGTTAACAAAACTATGTTTGTTAACAAGACATTTGTGGAGTGGTTGAAAAACAGGTTTTAATGACTCCAACCTAAGTGTATGTAAACTTCCGACTTCAACTGCACCATATTGTTAACACACATACAAACGGTCACACAGCGCCACCTGCTGTAACTACCTGGCACGATGCAGGCGGTGCTGACCACCTTGGGTGGGGGAGGGCCCACAGGGATCTGGATGGAGCTTTGCTGCATGTGAGGAGGCTGCTGCATGTAGGGAGGCTGCTGCATGGGAGGTTGCTGCATAGGCGGAGCCTGGTGGATGGGGGGCCCCTGGTACATGGGAGGTCCCTGCTGCATGGGAGGCCCTTGGTACATGGGAGGTCCCTGCTGCATAGGAGGCCCCTGGTACATGGATTGCCCCTGGTACATGGGAGGGGCTTGTTGCATGGGGGGAGCCTGGCCATATTGGCTGCAGAAGGATAAACAAGAAGCTGAGTGACCATCACCACCTAGATGGAAACATATCTCTACTAGTCTGATCATCAGTTCAGCTGATTTCTGAATGGTCATAGTTTATGCAATATAATAATCTAAACTGGGAAACTGTACTACAAGTACCAATTACTAACAAGGAGACTGTTAACGCTATGCCTCACGATTAAACCTAGTATGCTGAATGCTGGACAGCCACCTATCTCCTTCCTGACTGAGTGTCCATATATGTTTTGAGTCTTACCTGGAGCTCCTCCACTTCACCAGACACGTTTAACTCAAAGGTTAGTGGGAGTTTAATAATATAGCAGAGACCCACACAGAAAGAGAGAAAGACAGCCTGGTATCAGAGAAACAGTGTTAGAACAGAGAGCCTCAGTTATGGCAGTGAGAGAGATTAACAGAGTCGCCAACAGATTTCATTTGAGAGGAGAGAGAAGCAGGTTTTGATACATTTGTAAGAAAGGGGAGGTTAAAACGCAGGTTAAACGAACACTGTCAAAGCACGATTATCATCCTTAGAGCTAAAAACAGAGGGAGGGGAATAAGTGTGTGTTAATCCGGAAGTGAAGTTATGTTGACAATAAGGGAAGGAAGCACACTATCCAGATGTTCTATGGACAGTGGCATCTGGATAAACTTCCCCACAGAAGTACCTGGAGACTGAGGATTTGTGCTGGGAGCTGTAACCAGAGGCAGACTGCTGCAGGCTGTAGCTGCTATCAGAAACAAAGGATCAGGGGTCAAAAACAGGGGTCAAAAATAGCTCTTTGGATGAAGGCCATGTACACCTATACCTGTATGATGCCGTGCTGCCCAAGGAGTTTGTTACCGATGCCATTAACTTTTCTCCACTGTTTACTTAAGGAAAACAAGAGTCATCGGATTTCTCACATATTGTAACATCATCAGATCACAGCAGTTTCATTTGAACTGTTAGTCAGTCAGCTAGTTTGACCACATAGTCAGCTGTGTAGCTTTTGAAGAGAGGGCAGCACCAAATCAGCAGTCTCTTTGAGGTATAGGTGAACTTGGTTTCATAGCAATACCTTTGTGAGAGCACACATTCACACACAAAGGAAAAATATATATCCTAGAGAGACAAATAAAACAGGTTCTGAAAATCAATGATCCTAACACTGCCAAAACAAATCGATACACATCTAAGCTCCTATATCTGTATGTATCACCATCAATCAAGGAAACCATATTGATACTGCACACACACACACACAAACAGACGCTGACACGCACACTCACAAAACCACTCATTCTACACTCTGCACACAACCACCACAACTGGCTCCACTGCAAATGCCAACACTCCTGGCAACATCAATTAACACAACCAATCCAAATTGAAGAGAAAATGATGCCACAATTCTTAGGAAACTTTAAGGTGAGCCAGAGGACCACTTCTCAAAAACACACGAACATGCAGGCCAGATAAATTCACTTCAAACCACCCTTCACTGCACATCATGAGTTGATATAGCATTCACAGTTTTAAGCAACTGTGGTAACCACACTGGCTCCAGGAGATCACTATAAAATACCACTATTATATTAAAACTAAAAGGTTAGATTTGATTTGTTTCCTTATTTAAGCCAGCTGTTTATACAAAACCAAATTGACCCTCTACAATGGTAAGCTGAACCAAACAAACTTGGTAACATAAGTACCATAAATCCCCTTGTTATGCAAAGCTAAACAATGAAGATAATTTCATAATATCCCCACTAGACACTGACAAATCAGAGGGTATAATACAAGCACAGAAATTAGTCATCTTTTGTGATAAGTGTCACATTTTAAATTAAGTTCAATTTGTGTACCAAATTCTACAGCATTCTAGCCCACATCATGTTACCTTTTCAGCTATTGTACTATGAAGCATTACATCTATCAACAGCTGCTATTGCCTGTAGCCACTAGTTAGCCATTCAGTAGTTGACTAGAGTGGTGCATCACAGCCATAGATAATGATTTAGTACATCACTGATTTGCAGGATACAAATGACTGTGATTGACATCCAAGAGTTACGCACTTCTGCTGTTCTATGACAAACTACCCCCCAGATCAAAATTAGTCAAGCCAGTGTGTGAGCATGCAGTTGAGCAGTGACGTGCAGAGTGAGCATGGGAGAGTGTGGGATAGAGGAGCTACCACCATTACACGATGTGGTACAATCACTAACTGGACTACTATGTGCATTACCAAGTGAACTACTCTCATATCACTAATTATGTGACCTTCACAGGGTGAACAGTGCCCATTAATACCAATTCTGAGAGTATGCTGTTCTTTATTATGACATGCAAAGGTCCAGACTTGAATGGGCCTGTAGGGATTTTGTGCGTGTGTTAATGGAAGAAACAGGGTGACCTGCAAATTCTAGATGAGAGATGGAATGTCAAAAAGTCAACTTCAGAGTCATGTTAGCTACATTCAGCATTAAAATTGGCTTTTTATATTGTGGTCAAACATATCTAACCATTAATACTGTGAAGGGAAAATTGACATTGTGGAGAAAGAGGTGCAAATTAGTAAAAAAAAACATGGATCAGCAATCGCAAATGCTGCCAAACCCCCACATGAGCTTACATACTGAACATTCCTTTGCTTGTCCCTTTAGACAATCTGCAGTATACAGTCTGCACATGAAGCCTCATGGACATTTTCCTATCCATTCAGCTGTAATGGCGAGAGCTAATGGCGAGAGCTAATGCAAAGAGCTTTTGGAGAGAAGTTGGACCCTGTGCAGGCAAGCAAAAACGTTGCACCGACCTATTGCAGTCCGATCAATTGCATGTATCCAATTGGGGCTGTTGCAGTTATTTTACACCACTTTTCATGGTGTGACAGATGTAAATAATCATATTTTCCTATGAAACATAGCCAATGCGAATGAAGCAATGCTGCAGTCATGGCCTTGCTCCTTTGATCAGGCTAGTGTCCCACTGCCCAGTAAAAGTTGACATGTTTGTTTTACCCTCCTGTCCCCTATCCCACGTACCTAAGCAACTCTGCACACCACTGTCTGTGACGTGGTCAGTCTCTCTGTCACTGTGTCAGTCTGTCCAGGTGTGTGTGTACCTCAGGTGCTTGGGTTTCCCAGAGGGCAGGGTGCGCTTTCGTTTGGGCAAAGTGCTGGTTCGGAACACTGGGGTGATTGACAGAGCCTCCAGTGCAGAGGTGGGCGGTGGCCCTTGCTTATAAACCTTGTTTCTTAACGAGAGCCAACAAGAGAGGTCTGAGAGACGGTTTAGGGCTCACTCCAATTTCCTCCACATACACAATGATTACTTAGAATTCCTTATACCATCTTAAACCCTCTCTGAAATACTACACTGTAATGCAAAAAAGAAGGTAACACTTTATTTGGATAGTCCCTAATAGATGTTTTATACACTACCGGTCAAAAGATTTAGAACACCTACTCATTCAAGGGTTTGTCTTTATTTTTTACTATTTTCTACATTGTAGAATAATAGTGAAGACATCAAAACTATGAAATAACACATATGTAATGATGTAGTAACCACAAAAATATATTTTATATTTGAGATTCTTCAAATAGCCACCCTTTTCCTTGATGACAGCATTGCACACTCTTTTATTTTATTTCATGTGATTTTTTATCCTACTGACAAACCCACCATTCATGGATACGATATGATATACTTTATTGTCCATTTCCATGGACATTTATTTAATCTGCTGGTCCAAAGGAGTTATCTGAGGGTCCAATAAAGTAGTATAGACACCATGCCTCTCGATGGTCCAAAAACATAATCCAGAAGTCTAAGAAAGTGATCTCAGACACCCCCATTGAAGGTCCAAGGTCCAAGGGGGTGATCTGGGGTATTTCACCAAGAAGCAATATCTGGCTCATGTAATTATGTCTAAGAAGGTTATACACCAACCCTAGCAAGCTGTTGCATATAAATGGACTTGCAGTTGGTAGTTTGCTAATAGTTTGAGCATCTATAGATCATCTATTGTGGACTATCCAAATAAATCCTCTGTTGACACCCTGTATACTCTTACATCCATTATTTCAGCATCAGAAAATAAAGCTCTCCCAACTCAATCCATATTCCTCACAAACCTCTGCCCCCCATAAAATAGCAACTATGTACTAGCATCTGCACCTGCTTCTGCCCCTCCTATCTCAACCAAATCCACACAGCCCGCCAGACACATTGGTCTATTGACACTGGAAGGGCACTATCTCCTGACTGACATAAAAGGTAGAAACTGGGACAGGGGGAGTGATTGAGTGACAACTGTACCTAGACTGTGTAATCAGAGCAGACGAGATATGGGAGGCTGCATGCGTCAGGTGGCGGGGTCCCCCAGAGGGAATTGCAGGGGCCTCAGGGGCCACTGGCTGTGTCTGGGTGTCTGGGGGTGGCTGCTCGCTGCAGAGGACAGAGTAGAGTTAACACAGCCAGGAAGGATCAGGAGAGGGAGGTTGTGCTCTGGAAAGGGAATGTTGGGAATTCTTTGTGTGACATATTGACTGTGTTCACTCTGCAAACTCTCTCTAGATTTTGCAGAACTGTACAGAAGCAACAGCTTGCACAGGCCCAGGTCATCTCTGTTGTATTGTATTAAGGCTGGTCAAATAAAAAACTGGTTTAAGATGGATGGATTGTTATGATGATGAGGACGTTAAGGGTTAAAGGATGATGGGTTTGGCAGACTCGCTCTGTATGACTACAGTACTCCACTGCCTTGAGGCTCTCTGTTCTCACACCGCTCACAGACATGGCAGGTCTTCCCAGTGTCTCTCTCCTCACAGCTTCCACACAGTCCAGATGATCACAGCATCATCAGACCGTTTGACTTACCTTGAACACTGAATATGGACACTCTCCCCTGTGAATGTACTAAACCCAAAGCCATAGCCACTTTAAATGCATACGGCTCATGAAACCTTTCACCTAACCATTCACATAGTACAATCAAGGTTTTCCAAGTCTAATTGGAACATAAAAACAAAATCATGTTCAATCAATCACATCGAAACTGTTGACAAAAGGAAAAAGTGGGACAACATCAGAACAAAACAGTCACTCTCAATGAAAGAGCACACACAAATATAGGTACATACCAAAGAAAAGGAAGAGCACTCAGTTGGCGGAGGACAATAAAACCACAACAGACAAAAACATTCAACCCACACAGCATTACCTCTCAGGGGCTACGGGGGCGGGCTCTGGAGACTGCGAAGCAGCAGGTGAAGCCACCTGATTGGGCGAAGCAGCGCTAGCAGGCAGAGCGACAGGTGCGGGGCTGATGGAGACTGGAGCATGCTCAACAGGGCTACTGCATAAGAGGTTAGGTTGCATTGAGAGAAAACCGTCAGCAGTCTGAGGCCGAAAATCATATATACCAACAGCCCATGTAGGGCTGTGTGTATATGAATTAGAGAGTTAATGTCAGCACAAATAGACCTGTAAAGGTATATGGCTAGAATCAAATGCAAAACCAAAAGCCTTGATTTATTTGGATAGCTCAGCCCAATGCAAGGATGTCCATCAAGGAACAAATTGAGTAGAAAAAGAGTAGAACAATAAATCAATGACAATTATTTATGAGTCTTATCTTTCAATATAAGGAGTTATAGCTCGAGGTGAGGAAAAACCTCTCTGCGGGAATGAAAAACCTCACAGAAAAAGAAAGCAATCTGCTCATAATAAGATAAAACTGACATTTTAACTATTGGTTTTGGGTGAGTCACTGGAGAACGTATAGAGACTGGCAACGGAGGTGAGTGGAGTGATATCTGGTTGTATAATGGAAAGCTGCCTAGCTGCTACTGCAGGAATCGATTGTGCATAATGGGGAATGATTAAATAACTGTGTCAAGACAAGAGAGCTTCATCAATCATGTCCGAGGCCAGAGAGAGAGGGTTACAGAGGGTACCACCTCACTGGGATGAAGCAGGCTATATGCTTGATATACACAGTCTTTACTTTAATAACACAGTGCATTAAACATTGATTTGTAATGGTATAGCATATCATACTAATCTAAATATAATCAGAGACAATCTAAGGTGTCGGGAGAATTTCAGCCATAAACCCTGCTGGGGGAAAGGATTACACAGAGTATACAACAACATAAGCAAAAAAGGAGAGAAGAATGTCAGCACGGCATAATCAATGAGTGCACACTACAGAACATTTGTGAATTTACTTTTAAACATAAGTAAAAACTAACAGTGGAGGCTCCCCAGATGTAAACACAGCTGACTTGGACATGAGGCCAAAACGTTGAGTGAATGACTGAGGGAGAAGGTGGGGTTGAGGTTGCCCCACTCCGGACTGGGGAGAACGGAATGAATGCAATGCCAAGGGGGAGCTGCCCAGGCCGGGGGACAGACAGAGGGTGGCAGGCATCTAGCAGCAACAGGCCCAGTGGTAGACCGATGGCTGACCCCTACTCACTTCCAGCACCCTGACCTCCTCTCCTGGACATCTCTCTGACCCCCCCCCCCCCCTTGATTGATGTTGCTAGTCCATTCTTCCTGTTGACATTTACAGGCAGGTATAGAAGGGATAGTTGGAATGTCATATGTCAGGGAGGTGGTGTGGCACAGAGAGAGGTCAGGAAACAGTGGTCTTAGGTGGTCATTTAACCCTTCATCACTTTCTGTGGTGAACTTGTGAGGTTAGCAAGTGCTCCTAGGTTGTGGTCTGTCTACGGTGTCTCACGGCTAGATGTGTGGAGTACGGAGTGGAGTGTTGGTGTGTCGGCAGGGGAGGCGGGAGGATCAGCACAGATAGACAGGTGATAGGTGCTCTCAGTTTGAGTGACAGAGGAAGTGCCTTTGAGGCTGGGTACAAGGATAGGACAGGCCACAGTCACACAGATACTAAAGACACTATTATTTCTGAATCCAACCAATGAAACCTATTACTAGGATAACGTTTTCATAAACAACGTTTTGTAGCATTAACTGCTTTCATCTAGAGCGACCTCTACAAAGTCACTTTTATCTGATGGGAGTGTAGGGCAGGGTTCCCCCCAAAAAAAATTAAATGCCCAATGCAGTCAAAAACGTGATTTTACTGTGTTTTCAATACATTTCCACACTATGAGGTTGGAATAATACTGTGAAATTGTGAAAATTATGATAATGCCCTTTTAGTATAAGAGCTGTTTGAAAAGACCACCTGAAATTTCAGCCTGTTATGGTGGGATGGAGTTTTGGCCTGCCTGGTGACATCATCAGGCTGTAAATTAGTTAATAGACCAATAAGAAAGAAAGTTCCAAACCTCTCTGCCAATGACAGCTAGTTTTCAGTTTTTCCCTCCCACTCAGACCACTCCCAGAAAGTCCTAGCAAAATTCTTGCTTGAGAAATTACTCTTTGCTAAGAAGCTATTTTTATTTCTTTTTGAACATTTTAATTGAAAACAATCACAGTAAGGTAGTTCATTTTTACCCAGAAATGATTTGATATTGAGATAAAAATGGCGGCAGTGGACCTTTAATAAAAGACTGTAAAATCACCAGTAAATGAGCTCAATGTGATTTTAATAGAGGAAATCTGTTCCCCAAGACTGCAAGATCACCAGAAAATGAGCTCAAAGTGATTTTAATTTAGGAAATCTGTTCAGAAGCATTCCCACACATAAATAGAGAAGCATATGTGATCGTATCCCAATGTAGTCAAGGTTGGAAATGAATCTTTTTTTGTCAAATATTATATCTGCTTGGGATTCTTGCAGTCAATTTGCAGTTTACAAATGATTTAAAACTACTGTATGTCCCGGCCCCCCGACCATCAGCTCAAAATCAGCCCACGGCTGAATGCAATTGTGGACCCCTGGTGTAGGGTATAAGTTACATTAGCTCATCTGGCAGGTAAAGACATCTAACTTCAATACAACTAGATCTCTATTTGAACTCAGACAGCCATGTACACAGACACACACATAGGCACAGACAGACTTTCCTCACAACAAGGGGTTTATATAAACAGACATCCTGTGCAGCTCACTTAGCACACACAGAGGACAATGGCCTTCAAAACACAATAACCCTCTCCATGCTGTATCAATAGATTGCATTGACAGAATTGCTGTGATGTATTTCCAGATGTACTGAGGGAATGAGTGTTTCAAGTTAGGGGCATTTAAAGGATATTGTGCTTTGAAGGCTGAAATCAAAATCTGTTACCTCAGATTAACAACATAATCTGAAGGGGAAGGGGGGAAAGAAGAGAGAAGAAAGAGACCTGACAGAGAGATGTTAAAGATAGAAGATTGCATACATGCACCGCTCTTTCATCTGCCAATTATCTATAAACAGTTTGGAATTTGAAATACTTAATCTGTAAACTAAAGCCATTTAATTTCTTACTTTCTCTCACTGTGGAAAGGAAGAACTTGAGGATACTAACTTGAGGATAGTTTTGAAGAGCACCCCACCCCACTGGTAACGTCTGCTTGGCACAACTGTCAACATAGGGAAATTGTGATTTCTCCCACTAAAGCAGCTGTGTTAGTAAGGCAGCTCCATGGGCAGGCAACCTCCTCAACTACCATTTCACTCTGCTCCTCATTCTCTGGGACAGAAAGAACACTCCGGGGTAGGCAGGCAAACACTGGAGTTTGTTTGCATGATACTGGTGAGGTGGGCAGGCAAGGGCAGACGATTGAGAGACAAGTCCATGCTCTTACAGGCAATTAGGAGGAGGATAATGGAGATTACAGCAAGTCAAGGCAGGGGAAATGGGTCTAGTACTAGGTGGTTTAGAGGCAACAAACAGGTGTGTATATTACCACGTTCAGCTACTTCAAAGCAGCAGTGAGCTCTAACCATGGAGGTTAGGATTTGTGAGCAGGGCTTGATGTTGAGGGAGGGGGGTGGATGGGTTACTGGAGAGCTGTAGTAGAGGAAAACACTGACTAACAGGTGATAAAGGCAAGACTAAGACAAGGGAACGCAACGATTCAGACACACAACATGAAGACAGACACAAACACATACTGTAGCTGTCAACAGGTACCCCTCACCTTCTGTGCCCTTCACCTGATTCTCCATTGGGGCATAGGCCTACATTAACTCTACCTTCTTGACGGTCAAAACTGTGATTAGTCCTATGGATTAAACCTACAATACAACTTCTTATCGCCTACTGTCACAAGCTTCTCTATTATATTGAGACAACCACTACGGTCCTTGACGCTTTTGAAAACAATATCATTTTCTAAAAGAACCGATAAGAAGATGGGAAGTCACATGAGCACTAGGTCCCTAAAAAGTGCCCTAGAAGTCACAAACTGCAACAACAAAAAAATCCTGCCGACCACATGGGAACTGAGCACACACACCAAATGACCTTCCACTAATTTTGCAATGAGGGTGGGTTGAGAGAGTAAGATAGCCATGGAGTGATGTGACGAAATTTGATGTGAAGCAATGATGCCTGTCCTGATGTTTAGGAATGTTTGGTGTGTCAGTTCTAGAATCTGTGATGGAAAAAAAAGAGGGAGTGAGGTATAGGAGACGTAGAATACTGGAGAATGAGATCTTGTTTTGGGGCGGAGACTGAGGCCGGAGTATGATAGAGGAGGATGAAGAGGAGGAGCAATGAACGACGAGAGGGGGTCAGCCACCCAGAGGCACAGGCACTCCAGTGCAAAAACACAGTCTACCCAGCATGCATTGCATGCAGGTGGAAATCTCTCTCAGGAGAGGAGGGAGGGGGAAAGGAAGAGGCAGTTAGCAGAGGTTTCCAACGGTTACAAACGGGCATTAATAATCCATTCATCAGCCCACAGCAGAGCTAAGTAACACCAGCTCCCCTATGTGACAACCATACAAGCAGAGTTACCTTTCAAAGGGCTTTCAACGCCTTCAAACATGGCCTCGCCGAATCTCACTACTCACATATTTGACTTCCTGTTCTCCTCTCTTATGCGGGAGGACGGGACGACGACCCAACAGGGTGTTGTCTGACGGGTGTACTTCCATCCTGATATGATAATCCCTTCAGCCACATCTGACCTTCCTATAGTAGCAGCTAGAGACGCTTGCCTCGACAAGGCCTACATAGACAGACCATTGATGTAATACTGCTTCTATGTAATAACAGACAATCAACATAATATTGACCTCTGTTTAGGGAATCTCACAACTGATGGCATGATTATATTAGAGCTAATGATGGCTGAGTTTAGTACAATAATAATACAGTAATAGCTCCGTGTAACAGACTAAATGGCATGTGTGGAGAAGATCAAAGCCTTGTTTTCTAAAGATGCGCCAATGAAGCACGTCAGTTCATCCTTCTGTGGGTAATATGATCATTAGCTTGGTTTATTTCTACAGTCTTTTTAAAAAACGTTTCGGAATAGAATCTCAAAGTGATTGTACGATGTTATTTGTCATAACTATCTTATTACACTCTATATGAGGCAATTGGTTATTAGATATTCCAAAGCCACTTACATTATATAAAATATCGCTGTTTTTTCTAGGTCAAGTTGTATATACCACAGGTCAAAGGCCAATGTACTTGAAGCACCATTGAAAGGACAGAGGAGCACAAGGCTTTGCACTTTGTTGGGGGCTTCTGTGAAAAGCAATCCTTGACCAACTTAAATTGACAAAAGTCCTGCTTGAAAAGTGCCCTGCCCTTGGTAGCTGATAAAAAAATAAAAACTATTCAAATCTCTCAATACCAATGATGAAATGTAAAGATACTGTAATAGAAAATGGATGAACATCTCTCATTGACGTCAAAAGCAAACTCATGGTCAATATAGAATCCAATAATGTTCCTTCTGATTGAAGTCATACTTGTAATCATGTGGCCATCTGGCCATGAGCCATACTGGTGCCTATCCTGTAATATTTTTTTAAAGTCAGTGCAATGCACAATGCAGGCAGCACTCCTAATTATCCCTTTAATAGTCCACTTTACTTTATGCCATTCACTCTCTCTGGGCAATTCTCTAATTCATCACTTTCTCATAGGCTGCAAGGGTTTGCTGCTCTCCACACATTCCAATGAGCCAGAGCCCGGGGATAAGGAAACAAACAAGCCATGTTTAATCTGTGAGTGATTCATATTGAGATTAATTACGACTTTTGTTGATATCGGGGAATTGTTTATCCTAAATTGGACCCTTGAGATCTCTGTTAAGTTCTATGTAATGGTTCCTTGGGAGCGGCTTTGAAAGTCTAAATAAACAACTGATTTTATTTAGAGTTTGTGATGACTCATACAGATGTAGGATCTTAATTTGACCAGTATTGTCATAGCAAAATAATCCTGCAGCAACAGGATTTGAATGGTTAGTCCATAATGTTGCTTGATCGGTGGTTAGGCTATTAGCTGGCCAAAATTGGGCTACATGAAAAGCTTAATACTGTTAATATAACTGTGTGTTATTGAGTGTTTTCAGTTAATTTATTTAAATCATGAAGCTCATCTGCATTTCCTGTATCTATAATTGTTTATGGTCTCTAAGAGGGTGTTAGGCTGCTATGCCTTAAAGTTAGGCAACTATTTCCTCTATAACTTCCCTTTAAAGCCTGTAAACTGCCACATCAAAACTTAATCTCTTATCTTTTCAGAGAAACAATCTGATACGAAAATGTGTTTCATTCACAGTGGTATTGTTTTTATTCATACTTATCACAATGTCAAACTCAAATAGTGATAATTTAAGGTTGAAATATAATACAACTTTTTTATACAGCTGCAATTAATTTTGAAAACTAGGATCAACTTTCATAGCCAGAATAAGAGGGAAAGATGACATTGGGCTAAAATCTCCATTACAACATGTGATCAACAAGTATTGAACAAACCTCTTTCCACTAACTCACATTCCAGTATCTTTAGCCTGACCTTCTCCTCACTCACCTGCTCTACCCTTCTCTAATTGCTACAGTTACATTCGGTCTGACGCGTCTTTTAAACCAGGGCTTTTTCTGGCACGTTAAGGATTTGAGCAGACAGGCCATTGTGCCAATTTTTCAATTTTGCAAAACGTGGGCCTTTAAATTCTGTGTCAAACTTTTCCCTGTGGCATGAGGAAAGACAAAAAGGGAAATGGGGGGAAGAAAGAGAGAGGGAGAAAAGGGGGGATGAGAGATGGGTTAGGGACTGTGGCCTCCACTCCCCTGCCTGAGTCCTGTGCACTGGGGGCTCCCAAATCCTCCACAATCACAAATCAACCCCACTCCTGGGTGGGTCTATGATGTCCTGCACTATACTGTATCAGGGTCCCTGATGAATTAGCTCAGGCATGAGAAATCACTCAAGAGAAAATAAAAAGTGATACAAGTTCTGTGTCGTTTCAGCTGGAGGAGTCTAACAAACTGCTGGGAACTTGTGTGAGCTCATCATGAGGGCTATTTGTAATCCATGTGAGGGGCACTGCAGCATCGATACACTTCATACTATTCTCACTGTTGGCTCAGAATGACATGAGTCACAGGATAACCTTCAAGTTCAGCACAGAGAGTGGTGTGGAGTTGGGGCCTGAAGCAGGGCTGAGTGACCCTGTGACCCTTGACCGCTAGCTCACAGCAGGAACTCTGCTCTGTGCTCATATGGTCTGGTCTGGAGAAATGCCTAAATACAGCTTTTCTGCTAGGCCACCGGTCGCTGCTGCTAGCTGCCTACCTTGATTTCCTCAGATGTTCCACGTCTGGGTCTTGCACTATAGGAGAGACAGAGAGAGAGAGACAGAGACAGAGACACAGAGACAGAGACAGAGACAGAGAGACACAGAGAGAGAGGGGGAGGAAGAAGACAGAAGAGGAACCATCAGTAACTGAGTGTTTGGCAGGGTAAGAAGGGTATACTACACTCAATTAAATATAAATAGAATAGCACTACTTACTGAACTCCGTTCCCGTGATGTGGGCGAGGAGGCGGAAGGACTTGGACTGCACCTGGGAGGAGCTGCGGGCCCAGTCATTCAACTCCATGTCTCTGTCTGCAGTCTTGATGACAGCCTGATACACTGGGGAGGCACTGTCTACCTGAGCGTCTTTAACTGGGAGCGAACTGGAACCACAGAGAGAGGGCTGGCTCGTCACACTGGCACTAATTCATACCCACCATAGCCATTGGGGGTTGTTATTCGGATTCTGATCACAGTGTTCAGAAACTGCAGTCTGGTGGTGATTATTTATTATTGGGGTATGTCTGAGTGTATGCATATACTATAACTAACCTGTGTAGCCTACTTAGATGACTAAGGAGCATTGGGAGAGGACCTATTTCAATTTGTGATGTAAAAACCAGGATTGGTCTTGCATAAGGGGAGCTGCAAGAGAGGGGCTTAAAAACTGGACATTAAAAAGCTGCATCCGCCACCTTATGCTCACACAAACCAGTGATAAAATGCTAAAATGCTGGCTAATAGTTTCCTATTTGCAGAAGCTTGCATGTGAAGCATTATGGCTGCATAGCTACTAGCTAGCTTGGACCCTGTGGTATCTTTTCTCAACAGCATATTTCAGAAATATAATTTCAAACAATAAAAAAACCACTGTACCTTTAGCAGGAGGAGGAAAGAGCTCAGAACATTCCGTTTAGTGTCATTATTAAACCAGTATAGTTCCTGGTACATGGCATAACTATTGCTGGTCAGCTGCACATTCCCTGAGCACTGATTGGGAGAGTCAGAGTAGTTCTGGCCACCTAGCTGAGGCCAGCACTTCAATGTGTCCCTCCTCCGTTCATTTCCTTTTTATATCCTATAAATCATGCATTTTTTTTGCAATTCAAGAGAAGATTGTCCTTTGATAACATCACATCAGACAATAAAACCTATTTTACAGAGAGCCTTGAAACATAAAGAATCCCTGTGTAGCCAGCAGGGGAGTGGACACCCTCTAAGAAACGGTTTGCAACACCATGACAAGAACATGATGGTGAATGGAGGAATGAGTGGAGCGGGGAAGGCTTGATAGACATGACGAAACTGACAAATAACAAAATGATGATTCTGTGGTTGACCTGTTGGCAATATCGGTTTGCACTTCACTCTGAGCTTTTCTAAAACCTCAAATAATGTATGGCAAGAAAACATCTAATCCATGGATGTTTTCCATGCATTTCAAAACAGCACAATTTCAGCACAATTTTCCAACTGAATGGAAAATTGTTAGTTAGTAATCAGATAGTCATTGATAAAGAGCCACAATCCCTGAATATCAAAACAACACCATATAGTGATGTTCTCTACAAACAGCTGCTCTGCAATCGACTCCCGTCAAATTATGATGCCATCGTTGGATTAAGGATGCAGAGGCAATATCCGGCAATTCTAGACATCATTCCATCAACTCACAAACTACGCCAATTGGTGGCTTGTGTCGAACATTGCCATGGGTAACAAAATCAGACTCTCCATTCAGTGTGAGAACGTATTGGGTTAGCAGAGAGAAGGTTTGGGACGAGCGGGGTGGACAAGCAAAGAGTAGTGAGGGAAACGGACATGGAGAGGGAGGCGAAGGGATATGAAGAGACAGCACACAGGCTGTGCTCCATAGGTTGTCACAGAGAGGTCTACTTACGCCAAGGGGGAGCCGGCTGGGACTTCCTCTCTATACAGCAGGGGTGGGGTGGGGCAGGGCGGGCGAGTTGGGACCGTGGATGGATGGAGAGGGGTGGGGGGGAAGCAGCATGTCATGGTGGGTGGGATGGACAGTGCAGTGATGGGGTTGGTTGTGGAGGAACCGAGGAAGTGAGAGAGGGAGGATTAGATATGAACCCCATAGTGGATGTCAGAGTGAGAGCCTTAGTTTTCCTCAAACTCACCCAGAAAAATGACACTTTTCTCCACATATGAACAAAAGTTTACGGTCCCAATTTTGCAATGGTAACTAGCTGAATATGATGTGTGTCCTGAGATCTTCAGGTATTTGAAAGGTAATTATGAGTGTGGGTGAGGCTATGTAAAGGGATCAGAGAAGGCTTGGTGACTAACTTGGTGGCTTTATGCTTGAAGGTGAACACAGCATGAAGACATTCAGAGAATGAATGGAAGGAATCTAACAAATACACTTGAATATAGCAACAGGTGACCTGCCTTTGTAACAATGAATATGCCTTTATAAATATACTACATCTGTGCCTTAGTGCACCAAACCAAACCCCTCCAGCACCAGGCAATACAATAGTAATACACCAACAAAACTAACTGTCAAAACCTGAGCATTACACAACACAAAACCAACACCACCTTTGAACACACAGATCTCACTGCTACCTATTACAAACAATCTGTGTTGTATGTATGTTCCTTCTTGACACATACAGAATGCACTTAGGATATACAGACCTGTACAACCATTTTAAAGGATGGTAACAATCCTAGATCATCAGACCCTGATAAGACATCCTGATGAAGTCAGTCTGTGGCTTTAGTTTCTCCAGCACAGCGCGGCTACACTACACTGCAGTGCCAGACTAGTTCAGCACAGCCAGCAGAGGAGAGGAAAGGAGGGGTACTACACTCTTAGAAAAAAGGGTTTTACCTGGAGCCAAAAGGGTTCTACCTGGAACCAATAAGGGTTCTCCTATGGCGACAGCCGAAGAACCCCTTAAGGTTCTAGATAGCACCTTTTTTTCTAAGAATGTATTAAAGTCATGCAGGTTGGGTAGAAAAGCTAGAAAGAGTGGGTGGGGGGAGGAGAGAAGGAAAGGGAGGGAGTGCAGAGGAAGGATGGTCTTACCCGCCCTCGTGGCCCTTGGACTGGGACTGTCCGGCGATGGCGTCCATGATGGCGTCCTGGGAGTACATGCTAATGGGGGTGTTGTACTGGGCATGGATGATGGTGGCCTTGCCCCCAGGACCCTTCACCTCGATGGGCTTGTGGGTGGACAGGGCAGTGTCCTTCAGCACATTGGGGTTGAAGTTGGGGACGTACTCGTTGCTGTCGTGGAGCGGTGGAGGGTTGGAGGAAGGTGGCAGGGTAGTGATGGGAAGGGAGAAGAGGAGAAGAAGGGAAGAGACAGGGAAAACGAGGGGAAAGTGAAGGAGAGTGAGGAAGGAGGGTGGCAGTGGAAGGATAAATGGTGTGAGATGGGAAATTCAACAGTGTAATAGCCGGCTAGCAGATCAGTTTGTGCTTTAGCCAACTCCTCTGTCATGTATACTGCCATGTGGAACATCAACATGCATGGCACAACAACGGGTGGCACAACAAAGTTGTTGGCTAATGCACAGAGATCTGCTACCCGGCTACTACAACAGTGTGGGGCTTTGGAGAGAAAGGCTGATCAGTTGCCATAGAGACGTTGTATGTTACACAGCAAACATGCTCTCTACAGTAAATCTCTCAGTAGAACAGGCACAGCACAGCTCACATATCTGCTCACACACTCAGGTTTCCCTCAATATACAGTTCAACCCTCCCAGGTATGTGGGAGCATCAGCCTACAGGCTCAGATCATGTTATACAACTGGCCAGCAAGTAAACTGATCAAGATAAAAGAGCAAATGGAGACGTTAATATAAACATGCACATCTAAGTTACTAAAATATAAAGGCTAATTTATTGAACCATTGCATCATCATGCAGAGTTTCAAAATGATCTGCAAATGATTATGATTATTTTTTACATCGTATTAGCCATCTATCAAGTGGAAGTCAATTACACAAGCACATGCTTCACACTTCCACACTCTCCACCTAAATGTCATATGTACATGGTTGATTGCTTATGGGAGAATTTAGCATTAAGTCAGAAAATTCTCTAATAAAAAATGTCCCAAAACACTATTAATGAACAGGGATCTTGTCTGTGAGGGTTTGCAAGTTAATGAACATCGCAGGCAACGTAAAAAAAAAAAATGAGACTGAGGTTAAGATTTATTAGACGTTCTCTGGCGGACTTTGACGACCTTTACATTGCAAACCAAAAAGGTCATTATCAATACCGACACTAGAACTGCTCATCCATCTCAAAGGCAGAATCACTACACAACAAGCCAAGACAATGCACATCCACTTCACACCAAAGAGACTGAAAATAACAACAACAACATGACACTACACCACACAATCGTTTGGGCACACGCTACTACACCACATCCAGGGTAGGGTACTAACTTGGCAGGAGTGTTGAAAATAACCTGCGGCAGTGGAGAAGAGAGAGAAAGATACAGTGATTGACAACACAATTACACTCGACAATCCACCTCCACAAGGTTGCTCATGTGGTGTGAAAGGCAAGCCGCAACGTATGTCAGAGATTAGAGAATAGGACAGGAGAAAATGGAGTGATAGATTGAAGTGGGTGAAGGTGAAGACTGACTGAGTTTACTGGGAATCACAAAACGCAACAATGAAAGCCATCAGTGACAAATATGTTTTCACCTTTGTTGCAGTTCATCCTCGACTATGATTACTGAGGCTTGTCCATCACTGATATAAAGCCATGGCAGTGCAGGCTCCTTCAATATATAACATATAAATAATATACAGTGGGGAAAAAAAGTATTTAGTCAGCCACCAATTGTGCAAGTTCTCCCACGTAAAAAGATGAGAGAGGCCTGTAATTTTCATCATAGGTACACGTCAACTATGACAGACAAATTGAGAAAAGAAATTCCAGAAAATCACATTGTAGGATTTTTAATGAATTTATTTGCAAATTATGGTGGAAAATAAGTATTTGGTCACCTACAAACAAGCAAGATTTCTGGCTCTCACAGACCTGTAACTTCTTCTTTAAGAGGCTCCTCTGTCCACTCGTTACCTGTATTAATGGCACCTGTTTGAACTTGTTATCAGTATAAAAGACACCTGTCCACAACCTCAAACAGTCACACTCCAAACTCCACTATGGCCAAGACCAAAGAGCTGTCAAAGGACACCAGAAACAAAATTGTAGACCTGCACCAGGCTGGGAAGACTGAATCTGCAATAGGTAAGCAGCTTGGTTTGAAGAAATTAACTGTGGGAGCAATTATTAGGAAATGGAAGACATACAAGACCACTGATAATCTCCCTCGATCTGGGGCTCCACGCAAGATCTCACCCCGTGGGGTCAAAATGATCACAAGAACGGTGAGCAAAAATACCAGAACCACACGGGGGGACCTAGTGAATGACCTGCAGAGAGCTGGGACCAAAGTAACAAAGCCTACCATCAGTAACACACTACGCCGCCAGGGACTCAAATCCTGCAGTGCCAGATGTGTCCCCCTGCTTAAGCCAGTACATGTCCAGGCCCGTCAGACGTTTGCTAGAGTGCATTTGGATGATCCAGAAGAGGATTGGGAGAATGTCATATGGTCAGATGAAACCAAAATAGAACTTTTTGGTAAAAACTCAACTCGTCGTGTTTGGAGGACAAAGAATGCTGAGTTGCATCCAAAGAACACCATACCTACTGTGAAGCATGGGGGTGGAAACATCATCCTTTGGGGCTGTTTTTCTGCAAAGGGACCAGGACGACTGATCCGTGTAAAGGAAAGAATGAATGGGGCCATGTATCGTGAGATTTTGAGTGAAAACCTCCTTCCATCAGCAAGGGCATTGAAGATGAAACGTGGCTGGGTCTTTCAGCATGACAATGATTCCAAACACACCGCCCGGGCAAGGAAGGAGTGGCTTCGTAAGAAGCATTTCAAGGTCCTGGAGTGGCCTAGCCAGTCTCCAGATCTCAACCCCATAGAAAATCTTTGGAGGGAGTTGAAAGTCCGTGTTGCCCAGCGACAGCCCCAAAACATCACTGCTCTAGAGGAGATCTGCATGGAGGAATGGGCCAAAATACCAGCAACAGTGTGTAAAAACCTTGTGAAGACTTACAGAAAACGTTTGACCTGTGTCATTGCCAACAAAGGGTATATAACAAAGTATTGAGAAACTTTTGTTATTGACCAAATACTTATTTTCCACCATAATTTGCAAATAAATTCATTAAAAAATCCTACAATGTGATTTTCTGGAAAAAAATTTTTTTTCTCATGTTGTCTGTCATAGTTAACGTGTACCTATGATGAAAATTACAGGCCTCTCTCATCTTTTTAAGTGGGAGAACTTGCACAATTGGTGGCTGACTAAATACTTTTTTCCCCCACTGTATAACAGACTCTGCTTATGTCAGAGCAGTGGTATGAAGTGATAAAGAGAAAGTGGGAGAGAGTGAGTGCAACAGACGAGAGAGAGAGATATTTTCGTACTGTATGTTTTGTAGATGAGGATAGAAAGCGAGATAAAGAAAGAGATATAGGGAGAGAGAGGGGTGAAGAGAGGGGGTGAGAGAGAGGGTGAAGAGAGAGGGGTGAAGAGGAGGTGAAGAGAGAGAGAGGTGAAGAGAGAGAGGTGAAGAGAGAGGGGTGAAGAGAGAGGGGTGAAGAGAGAGGGTGAAGAGAGAGAGAGGAGAAGAGAGAGAGGTGAAGAGAGAGAGAGGTGAAGCGAGAGAGAGGTTGAAGAGAGGAGCGAGGTGCGCGAGGAGGGTGCCGCGAGGGGTGCCGGCGGGGTCCGCGGAGGTGAAGCGAGAGGGGTGAAGCGAGAGGGTTGCCGAGAGAGGGTGCCGCGGCGCGGGGGAAGGCGAGGTGAGAGAGAGAGGGTGAGAGAGAGATGAAGAGAGAGGGCCAGATGAGACAGGCAGATATATTGGGGTACTGTATGTTTAGCACAGCAGAAGAGAGAGAAACCTGAACCCAGCCATTCCAAGGCCTGTTAAAGAGACGACAAGAACAGGTGCTTGCCCTGAACCATCGTCACGGTGACAGAGTAATCTTATCGCTCTCCTCAATTATTGTATTTTTTGTTAGAAGTCTCGTTAAGATAGCACTAGAGGTCTCATCACAAAGACTGATATAGCACTGCAATTAGCGATTCACCTCTGACTTTCCCATATTCAAATTATGCTATTAGCATTTCATTGACACATCAGACACAATCCCCAATCTCACTGTGCAGTCACTTCAGCCATCCTGGCCACGTTTAAAGCAATGGTTTGGTTGATCTCTTCAGATACACACGTACTGTAAGGCTTGTCTGGGACGTCACGGTGTGTATTTCGGCAGAGGGGACACCTAATCTCCCGTGGGCTCTTTGTATTACCTGGAGGAGGGCCACAGGCTGAGTTAGGGGCCTTTACAGGGACTGTGCTGCCTCCCCTCTGGGGCAACCTAAATCACTAGGACCAACTGGGGTCACCAAGCTGTCTAGAGCCCAGATCAGAATAAGAATACACAGCTAAATCTGAATGTTCTGAGACTCTTTCCATCCTTCTGCCCCACGAGGGCAGAGCAGCAGGGACTGGGTGGAGTAGGCTGGAGCCCCTTGGAGTAGGCTGAAGTTATAGCTATAGACACTGATCTGTGGTTAGTTTTGTGGGGGGGTTTCTCCAAATGTTGAAAGTTAGGCTTTGGAGAGGGTTAGCTTTGGAGAGGGTTAGCTGATCCTACACCTGAGCCTACAGGCAACTTCTACCCGAAGATTGTACCCAACTCCCTCCTCTCCACTATGGGGTTAAACAGGCCTAGCCACCCCTGGCTGCTGCTGCTACTACTACCAGGCCCCCTGGCCTATTCCACTTGGTTACATACCCCACTGAGAGGCCTGCTGCAGAGCCCTTTCCTCTGTGGCTCTCCTGGAGCTGGGCCATCTCTCGCAGGGTCTCAGCTGAGTACAGCCCAATAGGGGTGTTATACTGCGCCTTCTTTGTGGGGGTCGTCTTGCCCCCAGGGCTTGGCGTTTGCCTCTTGGTGGGCGACCCTGAGTAGGAGTTTGTCTCGCCAGACGCCTCTAGTGACACGGAGGAGGTATTGCAGGCCGAGAGGCCGCCATTGATTTGGGTTGTTTGACCCTTCAGGAGGGGAGAGATGTGGGTGAGGTGGATAAGGGGGAAGACAGATAGAGGTGTGATCAGAGAGAACAAAGCAAAAGGTAATCTATCAAATTCAAAAATAGAGTTGTATGAAGTTAAACTTGGAAGGCAGGGTGGGTGCTGCGTTATCACCAATATTACCAGTAGAGGGCAGTGAGAGACTTAACACACATGGCTCCCCACAGAGAGTGTCCAATTCTGAGAGGATCAGATCAGCAAGGTCCAGGGCTGTTCTCACAGACCCCAGAGCTGGATGTGCTGCTGCTGCCTCTGTTGCTCCTTAAACCCCTAATGGAGGAGCTTTGCATGGAGCTTTCTGGAGCTCTCTACCCTGATGCCTCTGGCCTGGGAGGAGGCACTGGTCCTCAAACCACTTCGATCCCATATGAGTGTGACTGAAGAGTGTGTGTATGTGTGTGTATCTGTGTTTGCGCGTGTGAGTATATTTTGTTTATAAGTGCAGGCTACAGAAATTCTACAACTAGGGAAGTATGAAAATGAAGCATTCGTTGTGCTGAATATCTTGGGAGAGTGAGACTGAACAGAGTGTTTCTGGCTGAGTGTGTAACGTCTCTGAAGGTGCTGTCATGCTTACCTTCTGGTGAGGGATCTGTTGCATGGGAGAGTCGATTCTTGGGGTGGCGCTTTGCAAAGCTGGGCGCTTTGATCTGCAGCAAAACAATGAAAATAAGATACAATAGGAATATTACAATTATTGCTGTGTGACATGGAATTCTACGACATGTATAACACATAACAAGTGGTTGTCAGAAAGGTGTTCTGCACTGAAACAGCTTTAATTTCATGGTTTATGAAAGAGATCAAAATAGATAGAGAAAGAGAGAGAGACAGGAAGAGGAAAAGTGGATCGGAGAAAGATAAGTGTCTGACAAGTCCATTAACATGAGGAGCAGAGGTCAAAGGTCACAGAGAGGCCTTGAGGGGACATGAGCACAGCAGCTAGGCTCAATCTGAGACCTTCATAGACTGCTCAGATACAAACTGTGAACCCTCCTTATCACCAAGGACATAACATGGATTCCAGAGCCACAATAAAGTAAATTCCATACATTTTTCTATGAGAAAGGTACATTCTTTATGCTCAGTAAGAGCAGGAGTCAATCCACCATATTGTTTGCACCACCAAGGTTCACCAACAATGAGTTGAGGTCTAATTCAGAGAATAACATGTGAACGTTTACAGAAGGCTTCTCTCCAGAGAATGTCCTCCCATCTTGTTCGTCTAATGGACTCATTCTAGACCCGGACCTAGCTCTATGGAGGTGGTATAAGAGCATGGTCAACGTTCATGGGTGCAGAACGTTCAGTTTTAGCACCCTTTTGGTAAAGAAGTTCAGATACACAAGTGAAATTCCAAGAAAGCAGTATGGTTGTGCTTCTTATTTTGAATGAGTCAAGACGTGAGATGCTTGCCATCTGCACTTCTCAAGTCCCTTAATGTATCTTGAAGGACACATTCATTTATTCAATGCATTTTTTATTTTATTTTATTCTCTGGCCTTTTGCCCTTTGTCCGACTGCTACACAAAAGGCCCAAATGGCTCTGGCATTGTAAATAGAAACCATATACAGTATTTGTTGTTGTTCACAAGTTGAGCACAAAGAAAAGGATTCAGTGACCAGACAACTCCGAGTGTACTTTCCAAAAGTTCCAATTTACCAAAGTTTGGCCTTTTTGACCTGTGATTAGACTGGCTTTAGAATATAATACCCAAGATGAAAAGCCGCCAACTTTACCATGCTGTCAACTTTTTGCCGCCTTTTCTTTATATCTGAAAGGTTTTGCTAGTAACAAATCCTGTACTTTTATTTCCGCCAAACAAGGTAGTCATGATTGCGGTAATACACTGCTCAAAAAAATAAAGGGAACACTTAAACAACACAATGTAACTCCAAGTCAATCACACTTCTGTGAAATCAAACTGTCCACTTAGGAAGCAACACTGATTGACAAATTTCACATGCTGTTGTGCAAATGGAATAGACAACAGGTGGAAATTATAGGCAATTAGCAAGACACCCCCAATAAAGAAGTGGTTCTGCAGGTGGTGACCACAGACCACTTCTCAGTTCCTATGCTTCCTGGCTGATGTTTTGGTCACTTTTGAATGCTGGCGGTGCTTTCACTCTAGTGGTAGCATGAGACGGAGTCTACAACCCACACAAGTGGCTCAGGTAGTGCAGCTCATCCAGGATGGCACATCAATGCGAGCTGTGGCAAGAAGGTTTGCTGTGTCTGTCAGCATAGTGTCCAGAGCATGGAGGCGCTACCAGGAGACAGGCCAGTATATCAGGAGACGTGGAGGAGGCCGTAGGAGGGCAACAACCCAGCAGCAGGACCGCTACCTCCGCCTTTGTGCAAGGAGGAGCAGGAGGAGCACTGCCAGAGCCCTGCAAAATGACCTCCAGCAGGCCACAAATGTGCATGTGTCTGCTCAAACGGTCAGAAACAGACTCCATGAGGGTGGTATGAGGGCCTGACGTCCACAGGTGGGGGTTGTGCTTACAGCCCAACACCGTGCAGGACGTTTGGCATTTGCCAGAGAACACCAAGATTGGCAAATTCGCCACTGGCGCCCTGTGCTCTTCACAGATGAAAGCAGGTTCACACTGAGCACATGTGACAGACGTGACAGAGTCTGGAGACGCCGTGGAGAACGTTCTGCTGCCTGCAACATCCTCCAGCATGATCGGTTTGGCGGTGGGTCAGTCATGGTGTGGGGTGGCATTTCTTTGGGGGGCCGCACAGCCCTCCATGTGCTTGCCAGAGGTAGCCTGACTGCCATTAGGTACCGAGATGAGATCCTCAGACCCCTTGTGAGACCATATGCTGGTGCGGTTGGCCCTGGGTTCCTCCTAATGCAAGACAATGCTAGACCTCATGTGGCTGGAGTGTGTCAGCAGTTCCTGCAAGAGGAAAGCATTGATGCTATGGACTGGCCCGCCCGTTCCCCAGACCTGAATCCAATTGAGCACATCTGGGACATCATGTCTCGCTCCATCCACCAACGCCACGTTGCACCACAGACTGTCCAGGAGTTGGCGGATGCTTTAGTCCAGGTCTGGGAGGAGATCCCTCAGGAGACCATCCGCCACCTCATCAGGAGCATGCCCAGGCGTTGTAGGGAGGTCATACAGGCACGTAGAGGCCACACACACTACTGAGCCTCATTTTGACTTGTTTTAAGGACATTACATCAAAGTTGGATCAGCCTGTAGTGTGGTTTTCCACTTTAATTTTGAGGGTGACTCCAAATCCAGACCTCCATGGGTTGATACATTTGATTTCCATTGATAATTTTTGTGTGATTTTCTTGTCAGCACATTCAACTATGTAAAGAAAAAAGTTTTTAATAAGATAATTTCATTCATTCAGATCTAGGATGTGTTGTTTAAGTGTTCCCTTTATTTTTTTGAGCAGTGTATATTTAAAAGTCCTGCCAACGCCTGAAGTCTAAACTTCGCATTTCATTATATTATTGTCTGACATTAAACTTGTGCAGAAATATTTTTAATGCATTTATTCTCTCATTTACATTTTAGTAATTTAGCAGACACTCTTATCCAGAGCAACTTACAGTTAGTGAGTGCATACATTATTTTTTTATTTTTCATACTGGCCCCCCGTGGGAATCGAACCCACAACCCACAATGCTCTACCAACTGAGCTACATCCCTGCCGGCCATTCCCTCCCCTACCCTGGACAACGCAGGGCCAATTGTGCGCTGCCCCATGTGTCTCCCGGTCGCGGCCGGCCATGACAGAGCCTGGATTCGAACCAGGATCTCTAGTGGCACAGCTAGCACTGCGATGCAGTGCCTTAGACCACTGTGCCAATCAATATAGTTCTGTCCTTCAAGTGTTCTTGTCTATTGTCACAGAAATGTTTTGGCATTTAGCCTGGTGGAACGCACACTGCCATTTTCTTTTTACTAGAGATGTTGGTTATGTAATAATTACCTCAGGATGTGCGTTATGCCAGAAGACAATTCACACAGGATTCGTTTTTACAAACTGCTCCCTGTAATTCAAAAAAATAAAATCATTAAATGTAGTACTATGAAGGAAGCCTGCAGGGTTCTATTTTAGGCGTGAAGATATTTCAACATAATGTTGAGACGATAAAAGGATACACTGATAACTCGTGCTTGGCTGCCAAATGTATAGGTGTCCACATAATATAATCATGATCATTATTTTTGCGATCTACAGTCAACGTCCCTCCTAATGAAAATTCCCCCCATCCTGCTGATGTGAGCTGCTGAACAGCGGACTTGCACTTGAGATGCGTTAATAGGTGAGAAAATGAACTTGCCATTTCAGTGGGGGAATCACTGCTATGCAATCTATTTCCTACATCAACACCCAGGCCAGCCATTAAATAGGCCTAGCCACTGTACTTTTTTATTGCACATTTAATTAAACTTCAATTCATTGGCACAAAACATATAGGCCTTAACAAAAGTATTCACTGTGAAAGGTGATACATTCATATGAAATATATGCACAGGACTTTGTTTTAATCATCAATTTATCTAATCAGATCTGGTTTTATTTCTCAAGCAGCGAGCAACACCTGTCAAACTCTGTAATGTCTCGGAAAACACAGGGATGTCAAAAAGCACGGGACTAGTATTATCAGAGGACTTTGGAGTTTACCAAAAAATTGTAGGTTATTCCTCCCCTCTCTTACATTTTTTATTAGTATTATTTAATTATTATGTAAGAAAACTCCACATGTGAAAATCTCATTTCACATGTGGAATTGCACGTTCATATTTGAAAAACATTAACATGTGTAAATCATATTTGCAGTTTCACATGTAAGAAAAGTCCACCCACTGGGTACACACTGGTTGAATCAACATTTTTCCCATGTAATTTCAATGAAATTATGTTAAACCAACGTGGAATAGATGTTGAATTGACGTCTGTGCCCAGTGGGCATGTGTAAATGTCACTCCACATGTGAAAATCTCACTTTAACATGTGAAATTGCAAGTTCACATGTGGGTGTGAAATGTTTCCACATGTGGAATGGCAAATTCTGTAATGCCATTCTGTAAAAAAGTTACTTACAGTGAGGAAAAAAAGTATTTGATCCCCTGCTGATTTTGTACGTTTGCCCACTTACAAAGAAATGATCAGTCTATAATTTTAATGGTAGGTTTATTTGAACAGTGAGAGACAGAATAACAACAAAAAAATCCAGAAAAACGCATGTCAAAAATGTTATAAATTGATTTGCATTTTAATTAGGGAAATAAGTGTTTGACCCCCTCTCAATCAGAAAGATTTCTGGCTCCCAGGTGTCTTTTATACAGGTAACGAGCTGAGATTAGGAGCACACTCTTAAAGGGAGTGCTCCTAATCTCAGCTTGTTACCTGTATAAAAGACACCTGTCCACAGAAGCAATCAATCAATCAGATTCCAAACTCTCCACCATGGCCAAGACCAAAGAGCTCTCCAAGGATGTCAGGGACAAGATTGTAAACCTACACAAGGCTGGAATGAGCTACAAGACGATCGCCAAGCAGCTTGGTGAGAAGGTGACAACAGTTGGTGCGATTATTTGCAAATGGAAGAAATACAAAAGAACTGTCAATCTCCCTCGGCCTGGGGCTCCATGCAAGATCTCACCTCGT